CAGGGGTGAAAGCGAGACGGAAAAGAGGAAAGGCTGGTAGTAAAACCATTTCAGTTATAGCTAGTTTTGGGGAGGAGTTTACTTATTCTTTTTTTAAATTTTTCAACAATATCTACTTTATCTTGGAAAAGAAGCAGTTTTACATATATGCCAGAATTATAAAAGAAATCTTGATAGTTACAGATATTTCATTTTTTTTCGAAAAAAATGCTGGAATGAAATGTTTTACGTACCAGGTTTTTTTCTTTTCCGTCTTGCTATATAAGGGCTTTCATCCATGCTACAGTCGCAGAGATGCCAACTGCTCCGGACACGCCAAAATAATTAAAATAACGGTAAATAACTATAAAGTAAATTTTGCAAATGTCTGACTACATTTGTTTGTTCTTTAAAAGACATAGCATGACATAAATTCTTTGAAGTGTTGAATTATATAAGCCTGCGAATTATTTAGAAATAGTGGTGGATAAAAATCTACTAAATTGAATTTATTAGACTAAGAATCACAATTTATAAACTACCACTTTGAAATATATAATTGATGTCCGGAGCAAGTTGGCATCTCTGGCTGTGTATCAGTCGCATGAATCAAACAGTAATTTGTAACCATTTACATGACGGACTCCTATTTTTCCATAATAGAAAAAGTGTCTTTACGAAAACCGTGGTAGCAATTTTTTCACATGAATTAAATGGAAATTTTAAGTTAGCTGCTAATTTTGTTTACATATACAACAACTGTTTGATTTCAGAACAAATATATATCACAAAATATATAACTCTATATAATTATTAGATTTTGGTTGATATATATATACTGATTTTGATTTCAGGTCATAATATAATGGACCGATGAGAAGATGCGTTAAATTTCTGAAGCTGCCAAAAATTCATTTTAATGTAATTAAATTGATCAAATTTTGTAAAAAAAAAATGAATAAATGAATACACTTAATATATTCCACTTTTTATTGTGTTGTTGTTGTATTTTGTAAGGAAAAAACCACACTTCAATACCTCATGAAATCATTCCAGTTTGAACTGGTTAACTGCATGATTTGATTTCATCTCGTTTAAAATATTTTTAATTCCGATTGTAAATAAATATTAAAAACATATATATTGAGGGCTTGGTATTTAATTGTTATAGTTCTTTGTTGCTGATTAAATTTTTTAAAAAAAACTCTCTACTCCCAATTATTAATGCAATAAATTTTTCTTCAATTTCCTTAAAAGACGTTTCTCAAAAAGTGGACATGTGAACAGCTGTGATTTTATTTCGATTTGTAAGCAATAAACGTAGACAGGGTTCCCGCGGTCCTTGAAAAATTAAAAAAGTGGTAGTAAATTTAGGGTGGAGCTACAATATATTTTTTTGTTTTAATATGCTTTTTCATCGTAAGATACTGAAATTTTCGTGAATATATATATTTTTTAGAAAACATCTTTTAGTGGTGGCTACACAGAAATAAAAATGTCAAAATTTCTTTTATTTTTATTACCACTTTTTAAAATTCTCAAGGACCGTGGGAACCCTGGTAGAGAGAAGTATAAGAAGTCAGAGGAGAGATTTTCGGAGCTTATTGCTATACGAGTATTATGAACTCGTTCTCATTGAAAGTTACAGAAAATAACAAAAACAAAATTTTAGTTCGTGTCTTACACAAAACTCTGAATTAAGAATTCGAATTTACAGGGAAAAAATCCGAAGTTCCCCCCAAAATATTGATAGTGATAGCAAATCGCTCAGCCAAGCAATTTGAAGTTTTCTTAATTTTGCGTCAACTTTATTCTTTATTCTTAATTTTGCATTCACAATTTAAATCGAGCTTCTTTCTTTCTTTCTTTAAACAAAACTGGGTGCCTAGGCCGCGTAGCGGCCCCTACCCCATAATTTAAATCGAGCATGTATCAAACTTTAATCTACGTAATAAGTTTCAAAATCTTTGTGGTGATTAAGAAAATTTAATGATCAATTTTTAAAACAAGAAATAAATTTTTTAATATAAATTTTACCACCACATTAAAAATTTTAGAGGATTTTTGGAAGCCTTGAAATAATTTGTAAAAATGAAAAATCACGCATTTTTACTAATAAGTAAGATCAAAAACAAATTTCTGCTATTTTCAGTAACATGTATTTCACATACAAAGGGAGGATAGAAATTTGGTGGACTTCTATACTAACTCTATACAAAAAAAAATCTTTTGGCAGCAAATGTCTTGGAAGGTTTTAAATATCATAACTGTTGACAATTTGAATTATCATGTTTGAGGCTTTTAGAAATAGTGTCCTTTTTAACACTAGGTTTACGGGACGCATCATTTTGACGCATTTCGAATTTTATAAGGAGAATTACAAAACTTGCTTGCATTTTTATTTTATCTCTTGTAATGACTTTTATCCATTGATGGAGGTAAATATATATTGAAGTCTATTTTCTTCAAAAGCGTTGAAATATTGAAATTATCTTTGTAGTATACCTATCTCTACGGATATGCGTCAATTTGACGCGATTGTAATTTAGACAAAATTTTGAGTAAGCATGCAAGCATCACATCAATAATAAATAGGAATGTACCGACAATACTTAGATCCGTTATCCGATATCGTTATCTCAAATGAAGCAAGCGATAAACAACTGTTGCCGATAAGCAATAATAAAAAGAACAAACGCAGAATGTCAATTGATGTCAGAGAGTCAGATTTTGAAGGTTTCAGTGGCTTAGTTCGAGTATTGAAAAATAAAATACTGGAATATTTCATAAATATATATCTCATGTTTTCATTTTTTTTCTTCTTATAGTATATAATAACATTGCTTTCTAAGTGCAGAGATGTCAACTGCTGCGGACACGCCAAAATAATTAAAAACACGGTAAATAACTACAAAGTAAATTTTGCAAATACATACCTGCCAACTTTCACTCTCTCCGAGAATGTATTTTCAGAGTGGTTGTAAAACAATAAACGAAAAACAATTTGACTCAAAAATTTATTTATATTTTGATCCTGTTGAAATTCGCTGGCGTAAGGATTTTTATGATTTTATATATTTATTGTAATTATTTATATGTAGTGGCAGTCAAACTCATTTATAATTATCACATACCTGCCAACTTTTACTCCTTCCGAGAATGGATTTTCAGAGTGGTTGTAAAATAATAACCGAAAATCAATCTGATTCAAAAATATATTTATATTTTGATCCCGTTGAAATTTGCTTGCGTAAAGATTATTATGCTTTCATATATTTATTGTAATTATTTATATGTAGTGGTGGTCAGACTCATCTATAATTATCATTATAATTCAAAAAGTTAATTGGAATAACCTGAGTATTGCTACCACTTTAAATATGAAAATAAAATCTTCCGGAAAATCCGGAAGAGTTGGCAGGTATGCAAATATAAAGTGGTGAATTACATAAGCCTACGAATTATTTAGAAATAGTGGTGGGTAAAAATCTACTAAATTGAATTTATTAAACCAAGAATCACAATTGATTAACTACCACTTTAAAATATATATTTGCTGTCCGGAGCAAGTTGGCATCTCTGTAAGTGCTGTTATATGTATTCGTTCTTGCATCAAATTGATGCGTGTTTGTAGAGATAGGTATTTAAGAAAAGTCCGTAAACCTAGTGTTAACCATGCAAAATTTGCATCGACCAAAATGAGCGTTGAAAGTTTAAAAGCTTCTTTCTCTTTTCAATATCATTATAATTGAAAAATCACTAGTATTACAATCCTGTAGATTGGTTTCAAAATTGCTTTATTAAAACTGAAACGAAGTAAATAGTTTCATCTCATTTTCGTCGATCTGAATTTTGAATGGGTAAAAAATACACTATTTCTAAAAGTTTCAAGCATGATCTTTGAAATTGCGCCAATAGTTTTGCCATATAAAATCTTTCATAACTTTTGGTGCTAAAATAAAGATTTCTTACATAGAGTTAGTATAGAAGTGCTTCCGTATTTTTGTCCAACCGCTTAACTCATATTACTAATTTTTGCTACAAGAATTAAAACAAAATATTTTTTTTAGCCTGAGTGGGATTACATAGTGGTATAAGTTTCATAAAGGAGGAAGTAAACTTAAATTTTGAAGTATTTGTCTGTCTAAACGCAGCTTTAAAACGTATTTTACGTTATTCTATTGTTCTCATTTGTGGTAGACTCATTAAGAAAAATGAACTCAAGATCAGGCTTTCTTTAGAATCCAAGTATTACGAAGTTTATCATACATTGACCCTGCATTTACATTTTATTATTAATTACAGAAAATAAATTTTCTTACAAAAGTCTTCTTTGTTCTTTAATGCACATTTGTTTTTGTCTACCTATTCTTAAAATATGCTCTCAAGTCTGCCATGACTTTTAAGAAAAAACGACACATGCTTTGTTCTTTATAATAGAGTGTCTAAGTTAAGTCATTGTGCTTAAACGAATTGTCTTCGGTACATACTTACAGATACTTTGATTGTAAATTACTCTATATTTTATATTTTAATATTCATAATCCAACAAAAGACTATTATATATCAAGTGAATTATTTAATTTGTGTTCTTAGAAAACTTATTCCAGCGAGAGAGCAAATTTGTAGCTGTTAATCTTTAAAAACTTGAAGTACGGTTACTAAAAGGGTCTAGCATCCAGTCTTTTAAAAACCGGACATATAAGGTATATTTAAATATTTCATATTTTAATACATATTTATATTTTAAATTTTCAGATAATAATATTTTAATATATATTTATATTTTAACCCTTTCGTGCCGACTGTCACAAATACGTGCCAGCATTAAACCGTATCAATCAGGGCAAAAAGATAAAACTGGTTATCAAAGTATTTCCTTAGCAGTTTATTTGTGGGCGGAGTTATGATTGTTTGGTTTATTTAATTCACCATTACTTTGTTCAAAATAAAACTATTTCGTTATACTTTGAATTAACATTGATTATATATATGAATAAACTAACAATAATTAAAGTAAAAGCAAAGTAAGTTTGTCAAATTAACAACGACTACATTGAAGTTACCGTTTTTTATTTAATTACAACTTGATTATGATTTTATACGAATGCTTTTCTGAATCACCCGTCCCCAAGGGGTTAAAATACGTATATTTTAACTTTGCAGGGAATATTCAATACGTATAAACTGTAAGACGTGTTTTTTTTATAGTTCCGAAAAAAAAAATTTCTTCGAGTTTTGGAAGATCAAATCTGAAGGTTATTTGTTATCTTAACGCGTTGAGTGACACGCTAATTTTACATGACTTGCCCTTCTGGCCACGGTAAATAACTACAAACTGAATTTGCAAATATTAGATGGATTTTGCTATTTTTTTAGATGGTTTATCATGACATATCCAGAGATGCCAACTGCTCCGGCCGGACACGCCAATATTAGTAAAAAAACGGTAAATAACTGCAAACTAAATTTTGCAATTATTTGACTATTTTTACTGCTTTTTAAAGGGCATAGCATAACGTAACAACTTTGAAGTGGTGAATTATATAAGCCTACGAATTATTTAGAAATAGTGGTGGATAAAAATCTATTAAATTGCACTTATTAAACCGATAATCTCAATTGATAAACTACCACTTTAAAATATTAATTTGCTGTCCGGAGCAAGTTGGCATCTCTGCATGTCTGACAAAAGTTAGGAATAATATAAGCCAACGAATTATTTAAAAATAGTGGTGGATAAAAATCTTCTAAATTGAATTTATTAAACCAAGAATCACAATAATTAAGTAAATTTTGAATACATTTTCCGCAATTCCATAAAAGAGTGTAAATTTTATAGTTCTATATCATGTTATATGATGTCAGCCAGCTGTTTTTCGCTGCCTATGTGAAAGGTCAGTGTCAGCAGGCGGTGGCAGACGCAGACTAAATGTAATTTCAGTGTCAGCCACCGGTGGTTGAAGCGGACTAAATGT